TGTCTTTACTTTTAAGGAAAAATAATCAATAAATTCAATGCAAATAATACGAATCGAAGGGATGTCAATGCAAATAAAATAACTTGAATGCCCATTGAAAATGAATTTAAAATACAAAGCGAAAATTCAATAAAAGACTTGTTCTCTCACCAATCCGAGTATTAGAATAGTTTCGGGATCCTTTTCTAAGAATTTTAAAGTGATTCTCTGGAATACTTTTCTTTGATTTTTGTAAAAAGGGTTTTTCATGCTTATTAAAATCGAAATTTTCAATTTGGGTCCCCAACTGGACCTAATTCAAAAAAAAATTCAATTCTAATGTGGTATAGGGAATAGCTTTAGTTAATGGAGCATAAGAATTATTAGTGTATAGGAATTTGTTTTCTCCTTGTAAATATCTGTATTTACTCTTGTGGTATATAAATACATTCCAAGAAGGCATCAATTTCAAGAAAAAATATGTAACATGGGAATTATATTTTACAAATGCCTCCTACCTAAGTTATATATATTTTCGATGTATAAGAAGATTATTAATTTATATATCACATGGTACATATGTGTTTTTTTTTTTTTTTTTAATGTATTATCTTATAAATTTATTAATTATTAATTTACCACATTGGTCTCCAGTTGAGACCGGCCAAAAATATTATTTAACCGAGGTTATTAATTTATCAAATATTAACTTATCAAGTATTAGTTTATCGAAGTTTAATTATTGAAATGTCTCCTTTGAATACCGGTAAGAACAACCTTTTAATTAATACAAATTCAAATAACCTTAAAGCCTATTTATTAAAAAACAAAAGGTAAAGGAAATAAGTATAAAGGACGCTTTAAATATTATTTAATCGAGATTATTAATTTATCGAATATCAACTTATCAAGTATTAGTTTATCGAGATTTAATTGTACATTGAAATGTCTCCTTTGAATACCGATAAGGATAACCTTTTAATTAATATGAATACAAATAACCTTAAAGCCTATTTATTAAAAAACAAAAGGTAAAGGAAATAAATATAAACGACTGTTTAATTAATATACTACAATTAACCTTAAACCCTTCTAATTAAAAAAAAAAAAAAAAAAGTAAAAGGGAACAAGTATAGTTTGCTACTCCTTCGTGTCGCTATTTTACTAGTGTAGTGTAGAGTTTTCCTATATAATATTTAAAGAAAATCCAAAAAAAAAAAAAAAATTCCTATTTGTACGGAATCCATATATACTTGGGGATGGCTAAATTTTCTGCAGTAATTTAATGACTCTATGACAGTTTGGATTGAAGATAAAAACTGTAATATGAAAGGGAACTCAAAAAGCTAAGTCCCCTCAGAATCTAAACTCTTAAGCTTCCCCTTTCGTTACGTTTACACTATTACTATAACTATTGCAACACTTCTCTGCTCTCTTTTGCTCTTGCAAATACTGGAAAACCCTTGGCCGAAACCTGCAAACTGGTATGTTCTTTGCTTCTGTAACCTTGAGTTTTGTTTTGCTTTCTTGTTCTCGCTTTGTTTTTTGTTTTATTATTGCGTTCTTTTGTTTCTTGTTGCCTTTTTTTTTTTTAAGTCTTCCTGTGTTCTCGTGTGCTATGGAAGGGTTTTTTGTTGTTCATGCGGCATGGCGTTATTTATTTAGTTATCATGATGAAGTTCTTTTTTCAGAAAGCAAATATTTGTTTTCTGTTTTACTGCTGTGTTCTTCTTTGTATTGCTTACCCTCTTATCTTGTTCTGTTTTAATGATTTCAGAAAATATTGTTAAAAGGCGATTTCATCTTTTCTTTTTTCTTGATCTCAGCGACTTTTTTCTTCTTGTTCTCTCTCTTGTTCAATGTGCTTCGTCCTTGCATATTATTAAACTTTTATATAAATTTATAATATTTTTACTTGTGTTGCCTACCCTTTATTTTAACTTCAATCAAAAGCTCAACTGTGTAGTCAAATCAATGGTTTTTCTCTGTTACTAATACTGATGCAAACCATTAATTAACATGCCTCTCTCTCTCTCTCTCTCTCTCTCTCTCTCTGTTTGGAAGTGTTTTGGCACAAATTGTTAAGTTTTGAAAAAAAGGCAAGGAGGTTTGATCTCTTCTTCGGATTCGTAGGTTCATATTTTGAGGTCATTAACCATAATAATATTGTGACTTTAGTTTGTCTCTTTTCTACAAATAATAAGTATTAGATAAAGGCGTTTTTCCTGTAAGTACGTGAAAGTCCAGAGACAAGGGACGTGTCAATTTCTTCCTTTTAGGATTCTATATTATCGTAGCTTCAAAGGTTTTTTTTTTCGTTTTTTTTTTCCTTCTTTGCTGGATAAAAGATGTTAGAATAAATTCCTGATGTCATTTAAATTAATATTCTTTTTAAGCACTCACTTACTTGAAATAAGTAGTAATTTAACATTGAGTATAACCAAAAATATAATGTTTATTTTCTCTCATTTTCTAATTCAACTTAAAGGAAACTGATGTATTTTATGTCTTCATAAAGTTCACGATCCTCTTTAATCGTCTAATGTTCAATTGAGAACTTCTTAAATAGATTTTTAAGAACTTTGATGTCACCATTCGTCTTGTCGGAATAGTTGAGTCCATCACATTAAACATAAGAGTCTATGACAACGTGGTAGTGATATTTTACTATCTTTGGTACCAATTTGTTGGAAACCCGAAAGCCTGTTTGATCAGGAATTGTTAGAAACCAGAGAGCCTACTTGGTCAAGTGTTCAAAGTTATCTGAATTTATTTAAAATTATAAGCATTTTTGAAAAATCTTTTTTAGACTGTTTGACTTTGATAGGATCTCAAAAAATGTTTTTTTTTTTTTTTTTTTTTAATGTTTGGTTAAATCTCAAATGTGTTTTTTCAATTGTTTGGTACTTTGCAGGGTGTTTGGTTGCGTGTAAGTGCTTTTTTAGCTTCTTGTTGATTAAACTTTTGTATTGAAATTTTCTAGGGAACACGTTTTTGGAAGTGTTTTGGTGCAAATTGTAAAGTTCTGAACAAAAGAAAGCTCTTTACTGTAAGTAGTTGAAAGTCTGGAGACGGGTCAAATCAATTTGTAGTCGTTCTATGTGATTCCTTTAAGTAGCAAATTATTAATTAAACGATCCCCATATTACTTTATCTTAACAATAATGAATAATACTTTGTGTACTAACAGATAGGTACTAATCTGTGTACTAATTAAAGTATAATACAGATACTATACATATAATATGGATACTATATTTTAGTTAGTACACAGATTAATACCCATCCGTTAGTACCCATAGCATCACTCAACAATAATACTATACTTACAAATCTTCCCTTCCATGCGTCCACACTCTTACTATAACTATATTACAACACTTCTCTCCTCTCTTCTGCTCTCGCAAAACTAAGAAAACCCTTTAGCGGAAACCTGCCACACTGGTACATTCTTTGCTTCTGTAACCTGGAGTTTCTTTTGCTTTCTTGTTCTTGCTTCGTTTTTGTTATTACTTTGTGAGGTATTTGTTATGTTATTGTATTCTTTTTGCTGGTTCCATTGTTTCTTCTTTGTAAGATCCTACCACGTGGGCACTGGACACCCTCCCCTTACAAACCGGTTTGTAAGGGTGAATTTTAACCATCTGTGGTTGTTACATTCTTATTCTCCTTTTTTTTTTTTTTTTTTTCTTTTCAAGACTTGGAGTGTGTTTTGGAAGTGGTTTTACAGCTGTGTTCTTCTCTGTAGGTCTTACCTTCTTATTTTGTTCTTCTGTTTTAATGATTTTGGAAAATATATTTAAGATCCCAGCTTGCAATATTCACGCTTTTTTTTCTCTCTGTGCTCTCTTTGCTCAATATGCTTTGTCTTTGTGTATTATTGTATTATGATATAAAATATACCTTGTATTGTCTTTGATTTATTTTAACTTCAATCAAAAACTCAACTATGGGGTGGTCAAGGTTAATATAACGGTCAAAGAGGTTTGTTTCCTTCTTTTAACTTTGGTACCATCTACTAAAATAATATTGTGGATTAACAGTCCTTTAGGTTTATAAAGTACCTAATAACCCTAAAAATTAGTTAAGATATATACAAACTAGCCTAAAATCCCAGGTTACCCAACCAAAAAAAAAAAAAAAAAAAAAAAACTCCACTATGGAGTCAAATCAATGGTTTTTCTGTACTAATATTACTGATGTAAACCATTAAATAGCATGTCTCCCTCTGCAGAAGTGCTTTGGTACAAATAATAAGTTTTAGATAAAAGCACTTTTTTCTGTAAGTACTTGAAATTCCGGAGACAAGGGACTTGTTAATTTATTCCTTTTAGGATTCTATAATATTGTAGCTTCAAAGTTCGTTTTCTAATTTTTCCTTCTTTGCTGGATAAAAGATGTTAGAATAAACTCCTGATGTCATTTAAATTAATAGTCTTTTTAAGTACTCACTTACTTGAAATAAGTAGTAATTTTACATTTAATATAACCAAAAATATAATGTTTATTTTCTCTCATTTTCTAATTCAACTTAACGGAAATTGACGTATTTTATGTTTTTATAAAGCTCACGATCCTCTTTAATTGTCTAATGTCCGATTGAGAACTTCTTAAATAGATTTTTAAGACCTTTGATGTCACCATTCTTGTCGGAATAGTTGAGTCCATTACATTTATCTATTAACTAAAAGAGTTTATTTAAAATTATAAGCATTGATAGGATCTCAAAAAGTGTTTTTTTTTTTTTTTTTTAATTATGTTTGATTACATCTCAAATGTGTTTTTTAAATTGTTTGATTACACGTTTGAAAGTATTTTGTAAAGTGTTTGGTTGCAGCTCGTAATTGGTCAACTCGCAATTAAATATACAAGATCCATAGCAAGCAAACGGAACCATATTACAAGCTGACAAATTGGGAGTTACCACTTTGGTATTGTGACCTAGCATTACTCATAAACTCTTGTATTGAAATTTTCTGGGTAACACGTTTTTCTCCTCTCTGATCAACAGCTAGTCAAAAATGGGATCTCCAGCTAAAGGACTAGAATCTCTGCCACCACCTCCACCTGTTATCCCTTCAGATATTGTGCCCCTGCAAGTTCCTGAAGCATCAAAGAAAGTAAAAGCTCCACAACGTCTCCCAATGGCAAGGCCTGGTGTTGGAAAAGCAGGGAAGGAGATTGATCTTTTGGCCAATCACTTCAAAGTTTATGTCTCAAAGACAAATGACGACTACTTCCACTACAATGTATGCATCTCTCTCTCACTCTTTCCGGAGATTATCTAAATTTTATCATTCTTCCTGTTAGAAAAACTTAACTCTTAGCTCAAGCTACTGAATCAAGTGATAACTTCTATGTTTTTTATTGGGGCAGGTTGCTCTATTTTATGAAGATGGTCATCCTGTTGATGGGAAAGATATCGGAAGAAGAGTTATCGACAAAGTTCAGGCCACCTATGCATCTGATCTTGGGGGTAAACGTTTTGCGTATGATGGGGAGAAGAGCTTGTTTACTATTGGTTCTCTGCCAAGTATCAAGTTTGAGTTCACAGTTGTAATGGAAGATACCTCCTTGAATAGGTAAATTTTTTCTATGCTCTAAATTTATTCATTACTTCGGGTTGTCTTTTCAATATATGCCCTAAAAACACAAAATATTCACTTATTTGGATGCATATTATGTATAAAATAAAATAAAAAATAAACATTCTTTTATACATCCAAATGCTAACGTAACGTGTGTCTAAGACAACCCCATTACTTGTTAATTTGTTTAAGCAACTGATTTGGAGGATCTGTTTCTGCAGAATTGGAGGCCATGACCATGATGGAAGTCCAGAAGCAAGTGACCGGAAGCGAATGAAGCGTCCATACCGGTCGAAAACAATCAAGGCTGAGATTAGTTTTGCTGCAAAAATCCCTGTACAATCTATTGCGAATGTGCTAAGAGGTCAGCAGTCAGAACATTTTCAAGAAGCTGTGAGAGTTCTTGACATCATACTGAGGCAGAATGCAGCAAATCAGTATGTTCAATTTTGTTTTGCGATTCATCTTGGCTTTACTTGTTACTCCTTTTTGTTGTATATTTCTCACTTTTGTTCTTTCTTTCAGGGGTTGTCTCCTTGTCCGGCAGTCATTTTTCCACAACAATCCTGGGAATTTCGTCGACTTGGGGGGTGGGGTTTTGGGATGCAGAGGTTTCCATTCGAGTATCCGTGCCACACAGCGAGGTCTAACTTTGAACATGGGTAAGTTCAAGTTGCTTTACTGCAATTTTCTAATATTCTTTAGCCGCATTTGAATTGATTTCTGTCTTTGTTTGGTACAGATGTGTCCACTACAATGATAGTGAAGCCAGGACCAGTGGTGGACTTTCTCTTGACGAACCAGAATGTTAAAGATCCTCATCAGGTTGACTGGAACAAGGTAATAAAATCTTCCCATCAATGTTGATTTTTGTTTGATGAAAAAAGTGTACCTTAATTTGGATCTTGATTGAATTTGATACCCCCAGGCTAAGAGAATGCTGAAAAATCTGAGGATAAAGACCAATCACTCTAACATCGAGTACAAAATCACCGGATTAAGTGACTTACCGTGCGGACAGCAAACGTGAGTTCTTGATCTTCTTTATCAGGTTTTGTTCAGTTCATGAAGAAATCACATTGCTATTTGCTAACAATGAGTTCAACATCTTATAGGTTTGATTTGAAACAAAAGGGTGGAGGGCAAGAGGGCAATGAAGTTCAATCTGTTGAGATAACAGTCTTTGATTACTTCGTGAATCATCGTGGAATCAGTTTGCATTATTCAGCTGAATTTCCTTGCATCAACGTTGGGAAACCGAAGCGTCCATCATACTTGCCTCTTGAGGTGATTGTTTGATATATCAATATCTTCAATGTATTCACTTATGAAACAAAGTACAACATTGTAATGTATATGCTGTTTCTGTCATGTAGCTTTGCACATTGGTTTCGTTACAGCGCTATACAAAGGCATTGACTAATCAGCAAAGGGCTACACTTGTGGAGAAATCAAGGCAAAAACCCACAGAACGCATGGACATTTTGCGCGATGTAGGTTCTATTCTCATTTACTGATACCATTCCCATGTCATATTTGGTCTGGTTTCTGCATTTTAACAAAGTACTTCTAAGCGCAGGCACTGAGGACTAACAACTATAATGCTGATCCACTTCTTCGTTCGTTTGCAATTTCAATCGATAATCAATTTACTGAGGTTAGAGGTCGTGTTCTGCCAACCCCTAGCGTAAGTAGCAAGCTAACTTTTCCATGTATTTTACATCTGTAAAAATTGATTTGCTTCAAAGTAGTTCATCTTTTGAGTGACTAATGCAGTTAAAAGTGGGAAATAACAAGGACTTCTATCCTAGAAATGGTCGATGGAACTTCAACGACAAGGTGCTGATTTTTCGATGTTCTTTTGACTGTATTTCACATCAATTCAATGACTTTTGACATTAATACACTATATATTCCTACAGAAACTAGTGAATCCAGTGACTATTCAAACTTGGGCTATTGTAAACTTCTCTGCTCGCTATGATAGGCGCAACCTGTGCAATACTCTACTCAGATGTGCAGAAATGAAAGGAATTGTGAGTGCTTACACTATGAAATCTATTTCATCAACTTTTTTCAATTGCAAAATCTCTAACACCTTAGACTTGTTTTTCAATAATTTTTGTACCATAGAACTTAAACAGTACATTTGAGGTTTTCGAAGAGATTTGTCAAGTTAGCCGAGAGCCAGCTTCATATCGAGTAGATAAAATGATTGAAATGGCTAAGTCGAAACTTCTTGCACCGCCACAGCTTCTTTTGTGTATTCTTCCTGAAAGAAAGAACTCCGAAATATATGGTTGGCACATTTTTGTATATTAACCTTCATTCCCCTGCAGCTTCAATTCTGTTTGTACTTACCATAAGGTTTTCGAATTTAAGGTCCATGGAAGAGGAAATGTCTTGTGGAGCTTGGAGTTCCAACACAATGCATTGCACCAATAAAAATCAATGACCAGTACATTACAAATGTCCTCTTGAAAATTAATGCCAAGGTAAATTGTTTGCAGTGATAAGTCCGTGTTCATTGTCTTCTTTTGTTCAGTATATTCAACTTCTATGTCTTGAACTGATTGATTTTCTTCTAATTTCTACAGCTTGGAGGAATGAATTCCTCATTAAAAATGGAGAATTCTACTTTTTTTCCTTTGGTTCCTAAGATTCCCACCATGATTCTGGGAATGGATGTGTCACACGGCTCTCCAGGCCGCTCAGATGTACCATCTATTGCTGCGGTATTACCTGATTTTCTTGAAACCTTCTGTGCTTCACTGCAAAACTACTACTATATACATTTGCTTGTTGAGAAGCCGAGTTATTTGACATTTTCTTGTCCTTGTGGTTACATCTCTGTTGAATTTTTAAGGTGGTTAGTTCCAGAAATTGGCCATCAGTTTCTCATTACCGAGCTTCAGTTCGTACTCAATCACCAAAAGCTGAGATGATTGCTAATCTTTTCAATCCTGTATCTGATACAAAAGACAATGGTATCATAAGGTGAAGCGAAGAATTTCCTTTGTTTCTTCAATTTTCAATTGTAATTTTGTCTGCTTATTCTGTTAAATCTATTTGACAACTTGATTTTGGCACCATTCTTTCTTCTCTTTGATTTCAGCGAATTGCTAGATGATTTTTATAATTCTTCAGGGAAGAAACCGGATCAGATCATTATTTTCAGGTAGCATTCCAGCATTTTCTTGAGCATTTTCTTGTTTTTTTTTCCTAGGATGTTTTCTTTAGCTTATCAGTGGATATTTTTCTGTTTATTTCAGGGATGGAGTAAGCGAATCGCAGTTCAATCAGGTCTTAAATATGGAACTGCAGCAGATTATTGAGGTATTCACGACTTTCCCTGCTTTAACTTCAAGAAATACTACTGTTTTTTGTGATTGTAATCGGTTATCGTTTCCAGGCCTGCAAGTTCAAGGATGTGAACTGGTCTCCGAGGTTCATGGTGATTATAGCACAAAAAAATCACCATACAAAGTTCTTCCAACGAAATTCACCACAGAACGTTCCACCTGGTTAGTCATTTGCCATCTCTAGAAAAGGTTATGCAAAGATCTTGCAATTCGTTCACCGAACATTAACCTTTCACTTTGATTACTTTTCATGCAGGTACCGTCGTTGACAACAGTATTTGTCATCCAAGGAACTATGACTTCTACCTGTGTGCTCATGCTGGGATGATTGTAAGTATTGTTTCTACTCTACCTTCGCCATCATGAATAAAAACTGTCCATGTTTTCCAAAAAGTATATCTGAGAGGCTAAAGAATAATGTTTACGTTTTCTGTATGCAGGGCACGACTCGACCGGTACATTATCATGTTCTACATGATGAACTTGGTTTTTCAGCAGATGAATTGCAGGAGCTTGTGCATTCTCTGTCATATGTGTAAGTTTTATCGAAAGTATAAAAGTTTAATACCATAAATGTTGCCTTGTCAATGCCATCTTCAGTTTTTCTTTGTAGAATTAACACTACTGGTTTCTAAATGATGCAGGTACCAAAGAAGCACCACTGCCGTTTCACTAGGTAATGAATCTATTATCTCCCCTCCCTCTTTAGTTTACTTAAGATTAATTGACATACTTCATAGTAAAGGAAAAATTGAAACAAAAGGCATGATGTGACCTCAAAATTTCAAAAGATTTGGGATTCTGGCTATGTTGCTGTTACCAGTAACATCGTTGGTAATCAAGCTGTGTTATGAAACGCACGACTGCATGTTATATTATAAGTTCCCATATCGCTAGTCATAATACCTTAGCCACTAATAACAAAGTACAAAATGTAAAGGTCTTATTAAAAGGACTAATCTGACTGTAAAATCAAGTGAATTACCAATTATTGTCTTAGTAAATCAAAAGATATATTCTCTAACATATAACCTTAAACTATGTTAAACCATATTAAGCTTGATAATTTAGCATTTAACAGCATGATTAAATCACACTAGACTGTGTTAGACCATACTAAGTAATTTAAACGTATACCAAGTTCCAACTATTTTTGTAATTATTTGTTGTCTTCTAAACAAAACTTTAAGACATTTTGAGAACTAGAATTAGTGATATGAATTTATAGAGGAATTACTCGAAAACTAATCAACCTGACTTTGCTGAGGCTCTAAAATTTTTGTATGCATGCAGTTGCTCCAGTATGCTACGCCCACTTGGCGGCGGCTCAGATGGGACAATTTATGAAGTTTGATGAAATGTCTGAGACATCATCTTGTCACAATGGTGTCACAAGTGCTGCTGCTGTTCCAGTGCCTGAAATGCCTAGACTGCATAAATATGTCCATAATTCCATGTTTTTCTGTTAAAAAATTACTGTTCAATGTTCTGTTAAACAAGCTTTTGCTGGGAAAGCGAGTTCGGAGATTTCTAAATTCTATGTTTACAACTCTGCTATAACTGTGCCCAGAAGTATATATTCACTCAGATAAGAACCTAAAATTGGTAAGTAAGCGATGAGATAATCATGCTAACTCAAAAAGATTTAACAGCGACAAAGAGAGACTATATACTGAACATTTGTAAGAACTCAACTACATTGTTTTTTTTTTTTTTTTTTGAACAAATCTAAAGAGATCAAAAGAGACTCAATGGTGATAAGTACAGTGTACCATGAAAATTATAATGCAACTGATATCACAGATAAGTTGTCACAAGAAAAACCTCATGGAGAACCAAACCATCAATGCCAGAAGCAACAGATTGCTGCTTTACAACATCCAGACACAGAACTCGCTTAGCTTTAACTAAAAGAGACAACTTGGGATGCGTCATATCTACAAAACTTTCCCACAGCGTAAAAGATGTTAGAATGGGGCTGATGTCGTTCTGCGAAGCTGATACTTCGGCTCAGGTGGTGGAGCACATGGCAACAGCTTCTCAAGCTCCTGCAAGTTTAAGAAAATTATCAATAACTAAGAGGGAAAAGGATTTGGAATATTTAGATGTGCATTGAACACCTTCATGGCTAAAAATTTCAAATGTGTTTCATGCATCGAAAAGCTTTCTATCGATAAAGAAAACGATAATTTTTAATCATAACAATGTAATAAACATCATGATCATGTAAGATAGTATTCAACAAAATTCTGTCAGAAGAGACGAGAAGAAGTTCAAGAGAATAAGTACTATGTAATAGATACTTGAAGCAGAAGATAGAAATCTTAAAGAACAGCAGGTGCAAGAACACAAGAAACAATCTCTCAAGGCAACAGGAACTCAAGTACCCATAAATTTGCGATTCACCAATTGGCATTAGCAAGGCAAACACGCAAAAATGGAAATGTCAGATGAGGCTTATAAGAAAGACATTTATGTCCGTGCACAAGCCAATGCCAGGAGTGACAAATGCTTAAATGATTAAAAGTAAGAATAAAAATAAAAATAATAAAATAGCAATATATCTTAAATATATTTAGGCAATTGTCATGTCTCAACTAAAACTTGATTTTAGTTCTAATCGCTCATACATCCTCCAAAATGCAAGAAGCATGGACTCATTCTATATTCCTCAGGCAATATGGTAGATTTCTACCTCAAAGGCAAATATAAGCTTCTTTGAAGAATGAAAAGACAGACAGGGCTTTAAGTATTATATAGTTGAACAGAAAGAATTTTTATTCTTACATAAGCATATATCAGAAAAACTTCATACTTTCTTCACAAGAAGTTTATTAACTTGAACTTTGAAAATCACTCTGAAACCTCTTAGCTACAGTAGCATTGCCTTGAACAGTATTACTGCTCTATTTATTAACTGGGGCAGAGACTCTCTTCCCTGAGCTGGGGTGGTAGAATGGAAACTAGATAATACTATGATATCTCACATGTAATAGACACTGATGTTAAGGTGAGCTATCATACGAAGTACTGATGTAGGACCTATGGCAAACCTCCACTAGAGGGATTTCACCAAAGACCTAGGAAGGAATCTCCAGTTGAGCTGAGACACTGTTTCCACAACATCATCAACAGCTGACAACTGACTAAACTCAACTCAATGGAGTCATAACCCATATCAGCTGTTCAAAGACCAAAATTGAAAGCAAAAAATTACCAATGAAATTGTAAAAGGATTACAACTTTATCTAATGCAGCAGTTTGGAAGAATAGGAGGAAGTCACCACATCCTTACATTCCTTGAAGTTTTGAGAAGCATTTACTGCTACAGAAAGTTTGAACTACAGCAAAACGGCCCATCAGCTTTTCTTGCCCACTAAATGACAAACACATTTACAGCAGGTGAGTGTTTTTGTTGTTTTCTTCTTTAAGATTGAACAGTGAAGAAGATATGAATATGAACCAGAGACCAGTTTGAAGACAAACATCCCTAAGGAGGGGAAACCACACTGTACATAGACAGCTAAAAACCTCTCTGTGAACCACAACTAGCAAAAACCATTTCTAAATATTGTTCTTTAAGGACAAACAGGCCAAAGCAAGGGTCACGCATAGTCCAAAACTTGCAAAATGATAGTTACAGTCCTTACACTTTGCAAAAGAGCATATAGATGTCTATATATCATATGGAGAAATGTGAAACAAAAATGCAGATCAAGGACTTTCTCCATGAATGCCAAACTTATTCCCTGAGCCATAATCACCAAATTCTTTTTCCCTTTCTCAAAAAGGGAAAAAAAATAGCATCCCAACATCTCTCACAACTGCAAACTGGAATCATTGAAAATGCCCCTTTTCTTTTTTAAGGACATTGTAAAATAACTACAAAAGAAGAATTTTTCATCTCACTGGGACATGAAGGAAACAGAAAATGAGAGATATAAATGTTGATCATGATGAACTCTTCAGTGATAAAGAGTGAAGCTGCCACTCTAGAATACAAAGGTGAATGAAAACATCACAGAGAACTGACTGGTTAAATGATCATCAAAAGGCCAAAATAGATCTTGTTATCATCCAAAAGGAATATTTATGAGTCCTTCGATAAGAAAGAAAGAAACTTAATGGGAAAAATGAAGATATCAATGAAGTTAAATTAAGTATAACACAGTGGTTTATGTCCCCAAAACATGGACGGGATTAGCCTAATAATTGGGTTATTCTTATATTATCATGAAGACACAGGATATTAGTAAAAAACTATTAAATTTGTCAGATCCACTGAAGCTCATCCTATCTAGGAAAACAACAGTGGTTTCAGACATTAAGAAAATAGAGAAGAAACTAAACATGGTTTTAACACACTAAACTAACAAGGAAAGGACCTACTTAGAATATAAAAAGCCAGTCGTCTCTACATTAATAAACTTCTGCCTAGATCTATGAAACAGGTGAAAAGCAGCAACGTAAGAAAATCCAAGACAGGAGATAGTGGATAAGATTTCAAGGACAATGTTGCCTATGCCAATCCTAAGCTGTTGCGGCAATGGGAAGTGAGCAAGATACGATGATTACATTCGTCAAAAATAAATTCACTGGCTGTAACTCTCTCTATGATAGCCTCTATGCAGAAAAACAACTATGTGATACATAATTAAAAAAAAAAAAAAAAGCCGTTGAAACCTCAGATTACTAATAAGCCTACGCTCATGTATGCATTTTAAATCTACTGCACAGAGAAGTATGGAAGGATAATGACCAAGAATGTAAACAAAACTATAAGTAATCGAAGTGATACAATTTGAACTCATCCATCACAGAAGTACAATATAATCATAGGCAATTGAAATTATTTAAAGAGTACTATAAATAAAATAAAATAAACCACGGGCAGGCAATTCCCTTTTCTTTCAATCCCTTCCACTACCCACTAGACAGGAAGAAAATCCTTAGACCTTCTGTAAAGAATCTTCCTTAAATAAATTTCATTTTCTACTTTGCTTGCCAACAAACACAAGAAATAGGCAATCTTCGGAATTGTATGCCACTAGACATAGGTCTGCAATTTCTTTTTCCAAGAAGAATCATGAAACAGACATTATAAACTAAGAGAAATAAACCAGTATTCCACCACTAAAACCCAAATGCATACAATTCAGACATAACATAACTTTGAAGACAACAGAACCCACGCCAACAGCATCTCAGTCGTTATGAATAAAGAAGAATAAAGTATGATGATTTGATATGACCATAAAAATTAAACAGACTACTAAAACCCAATGTTATACAAATGAAACAATTCAAAATAGACAACACCAAAGTCAAGCCAAATAACATATCATTCATGCACCATTAAAAGTCACAATTCTCAGACATCTATGGAATCAGTTGAAATAATACATGACAGTTGAGTGTTTGTTTGCAACAAAAATGGACACAAATGTATGAATCCTCTGTGGTTCAATCAATTTTAAACCTAATGCATACATGTTCGAAACTTTGACAAAACAATGGACAAATAAAGGAGAAGGTATGACAATTGGAAGCAAACTATCTATTCAAATTTATTTTCATCAACTTTGAGGATGAGAGGGAGAAAGCATGTGGCTGAATTGCTTTGGAGACTGCAGGGAATTTTATAAAAATAAAATCAGAAGGAAAAAAAGTAACAAGTATATCATAATAGACAAATCCAACCTTCCGTTTCCTCAGCCTTTCATTTTCCTCTTCCAAACGAGAAACTTTGTTCTCCAGCTCATTAGTGTACGCCTGTCCAGAGTTAACTTCGTGGTCACAAGAGAACAAGAAGAAAAGGCAAAACTAAACATCATTATTCATTTGAAAAACAAGAACGACTGAAAGTCTACCTGCTTTCTTGCTCGTGAACGTGCAGCAGACTCCCGGTTCTTTATCATCCTCTTTTGCCGCCTCTCAACAGTCTTCTCAATTATTTCTTCCGGGGTGCCTCTTTTCCTTCCAAGACTCTGTGTATCTGATAACGTTCCCATTGAAGGTGAAGTTAAGGCCACCTGATTATCTGCGTATGAAACATCCATTATAGCACCTGTCCCCATGTGCAGTGGCTGTGGTATAGGCTGCCCTGGCATGTAAACTCCCATCATACTTTGTTGTGCTTGCTGATATTGCGGATGTGGGTATTGCATCCATTGACCTTGTGGAAACTGTGGTGTTAAATTTTGGTCAATGCTAAGAACAGGACCACCAGTTTTTTGGTCCACAGATCCCTCCGCTACAACTCCTGCTTTCACCAAGAAATCCTCCAAAGTCATCTCTCCTAAAGTAGGCTGTCGTTCCCTGGACTTCCTTTCCCCACTATTTTTGTTTTGCTGAATATCTCTCCAAACCTCGTCAACTGTCTTCTTACTTAGAGCACCAGTTAACGACAGGCTGGCCTGATGCTGCAGAGCATTTTGATTGGCCAATTCAGTGCCCTCCATTTCCAAACTCATAGACTGGTTAGCCTCAACTGTCCAAACGTTCTTCAGAAGCTCATCTAGGTTCATACTGGTGAGTGGTTTTCCCAAGTCACCCAACTGATTTTGGACCTCATCAAGTGTGAGACTGTACATTGAATTTTGTCTTACCAACGGTTGAAACTGAGACTGTTTACCATTACTACTACCATCACACTGAGACCCCATTGTCTGAATCCCCATTCAACAACCTTCACTGTAAACAGACATTCCAAGATCTCAAACTCCAATCCAAAAAAACGATAACGATAGGCCAAAAGTTGGCACGGAAATGACGTGAACCAGAACCTCAAACACAGCCCAAAAATCAGTACCTGAAAAGACCAGGTCAAGGTTAGACCACTAGTCCATTCAGATTATCTCACTTCAGCTGATCTGAAATTATATTTATTCAATAAGACAATTTCATATTGAGGGCAAAAACCATCCATATAAATTTTCATTTAAAACAAATTTGAATATGATCATAAAGTTTTACTCTATACATGCAAATTGAAGGATAAATAAAAAGATGACCACATAAAGGTACACACTAATCTTCCATCAATCAAATTGCCTCAAACCCTAAACCCAAAACTCTAAATAAGAGACATGCAGAACTAATCACAGATATTAATCAAAGATAAAATAAAAATTAAAAAACCCATTAATTGTAGTTGAAAATCCTTTAATGTAATTGAATAAAAGTGATAAACACTTTCTTAGAAGGTCAAGAAGATCCACCTCTAGCCAGTCTTCAAACAAACTTAAACTCAGAAACCGTGAACCTCTCTGCATGACAATCCAAATAAACAAAACAAACCCGACTTTAAATCTAAAATATATCCTACAAAGGATACAACTTTACCAGCACAGAATCTAAGACAAACAGAAAGGAAAACAAGGTGCGAATAAAAGTTAGATAAGTAAAATCTCTTGCATGCAAAACCAAATGCTACAAGAACAAACTTCTATTGATCAAAAGCCTTGAAACTCAAATCCCAGATGCAAAAACAGCCCACAAACACAGCATTACCATAATCCAAGATCAAAACCCAAAGAAAAAATTGGCATGAACCAAATCAATGCTTAAAAATCAACACACAAGCTAAGAAAAAACTATCATACAACAATCCAAATGAAATGAAAATCAAAACCCACATCAGATCAAACTCCTTAAACAAAATAAAAAATTTCCCGCATGTAAAAATTAGTGAAAAACAAAAAAAAAAATGAAATTTTTGTAAAAGAGTGAGTTCACAAACATGAAAAAGTCGAAAACATTAAAAATATTAAACGAAAAAAACTGCTTACTTTGTGAGTTAAGAGAGTGAAACTGAAAAGATTTGAAGTAGAATGGGTTCAAAGAAAGTATTGAGATGAAATCATCAGCACTTTGTTTGTATTAATTTTATTTTTTTTCTTCTTTTGGGCATTTGAAGAAAGACAATAAGAGAGAGAAACAAAAGCAACTCCCCAAACCGTATGCTTAATATTTTATTATTTTATAAAATTAAAACAAACTGTTTTAATTGGCCCATTTTGTTTTCATTTTTTNCTTTTTTTATCATTTGTCCAATACTTAGCAAATTATGACTTAAATCAGGAACTAAAAGAACATCAAAAATTAATTTAGTACATTTTAATGTTGAAACAGCAATGTTATATTTTCATTTGATTGGCACTTTGTCTCAATTACCCAATCTCACAATTCCCTTCATGTCCTCCAATTGAGTGAACATCTCCACTTTGCTAGTCATGTGTTGAGTGCATCCGTTGTCAATAAACCATTAATTGTTTTGCTCCTTAGTGTCCATAATCAATGCAGTGAACAACAGTTCTTCTTCTCCCTCATCTTCTTCTTTCACAACGTTTACTTGTTGCTATGGTTCACTAGTTTGCTCTTATTGTTGATTATTCTTCCTTTGATCACATTCTCATAGAGTGACCCGATTTATTATAGAATCGACATGTGTTTTGCTTATTTTTGTACCAACAATCATCCTCTAAATGATTGTTCTCTTTGCAATGGTTGCAAAAGCTTGACTTCTTCTATTTTCATATCCCTTACCTTTTCCCGAAATCTTAGCATTCGTTCATAGAGCAACCTCTAACCCATTCTCATTCATCATCTTCCTTCTTGGTTCTTGTGCTTCAAGAGCACTTATCAAGGCAGCCAATGACATTGATTTAATATCCCTTGAATCTTCAAGGAACGAAATCTTGGACTCAAACTTTTTTGACACACTTACCAGAACTTTTTCTACTAACCTCTCCTTTGGAAGGATTTTGCCTAAGATTCTGATTTCATTCACAAGCTTCATTAGCCTGTTGGAATATTGCGATACACTCTCCATCTCAGTCATCCTCATATTGTCAAACTGTCACTTCAATGTGACGATCTTCATGTTCCTTGTCTTTCCAAAACCTTGATACTCCTTGTCTTTCCAAAACCTTGATACTATGTTTGCAACTTATCTCAAGTCTCCTTGGCAGTAGTGCAAGTAGACCTAGCAAAACAGGTCAAGACCCGCGAGTTGACCCTAAACCCGGGAAAAATATATAGGGTATAGGTCCATGACATTGGACCCGTTTTTTAAAGATCCGTACCCAGCCCTACTTGTAGTTCTAACGGGTTAGACGGGTTCATCCACAGGCACCTTTTTTTTTTTTTTTCTTTTTGTTTTAAAAAAAAAAAAAACCATTTTCATTTTAAGGCAAATCCAAATTGTGACCCATTTCAAAAATCCCCAACTCCTCTCTCAGAATCACTCTCATCACTTCATCACTCTTAAAATCAATCACGCAAACTCCACGCCACATTTTTGTCATCGCCGCTCAAAAGTCAAGGTTGTCAGTATGTTTCTATTCCTGGTGCCACTACCATTGCTGGAGCCATTTTGGATTGGTGAATTGAAGATTGAATGATTTCTCTTCTTTTGATTTGGTGCTCCAATGAAGATGAAATGCTCTTTTATTTATAGCCTACTGAGTGTTGTTGATATTTGATTGCTGTTGTATGTAATTACTTGGTGGCCGGCGACTCTTCATCATTTCCAACCTTCCCACAGCCAACCCACTCACCACTTGTTTGACAAAATTCCTCACCCAAAGCCACCACTGAAACTTTCATTTCTATTTCAAATTTTGAAATATGAAAAAAATGGTCATTTAAAAACAAACCCACATTATATTTAACTTAAATAAATGCTAGAATGGTAATGGTGGCCGTGAAGTTATGGGTTTTGGGAAGGCGAAAGTGGTGGAGGTGGCAAAGGTTTCAGGCTGCTCATTGGTTTGACATGGGGGGAGAAGGTGGGTGGGATAGCCGAATAGGAAGTGCAGCCTTTTTATCTTCTATTCAATTCAGTAATTTATTGTTTTATANAGGTCTACTGTTACTGTTAAACTTCAACAGTCAAAGAAAAGTAATTAGTATATGGATATGGTTGTCATTTTACACTTTTTAATTATAAAAAATGAAATTAAAAAAGAAGCATTATAATTATAAGATTATAAATTAAATTGTAATAAATATAAAGGAAAAACAATAAAGGACAACAAAATTATATGAGAATCTTTTTAGTTTTTTTTTTTAATGTTTTTAATAATTTTACTTTGATTGTAATTTTATTATGTATCTTTAAAGTCCCAATTTTTTATTTTATATGTCTAACACTTAGTGATGGCAATGGGCCGGGTCGGGACCGGGTACCCCTTGGCCCAGGCCCAAGCCCGACCTCATGACAAAGGCCCAAGCCTGGCCTGGACCTGTCACGGGTATGATAGGTAAAGCCCAAGCCCAGCCCGACAGGCTTTTTGTAACCTTAGGCCCGGCTCAAGCCCGCCTATTTTTAAATTTTAATAAATTTTAACTTTTTTTTTATATTTTTAATTCTAAAAATAGTTTTTAAATATTAATTTTGATCCAGTAATTTAACGGAAATAAAACATAAATTATTTTAATAGTCAACTTATCGATTTTCAATCTTTAAATTTTTGTAACTCGAAACTAAGTTACTATAATTAACAGTAACTATAGATTACTATAAATTATTTTAATTGTCAACTTATAAATTTTTCAAAAGGGAACGACTTACACCTACCCAGAGTTTGCCTTAAAGACAAATTGGTACCCAAAAAATTTTGAAATGATAAATACCCACTGTCCGTCCAAATCTGTTAACTAAAATGGTATTATCGACATTCTATCATTTTTGTGGGGGTAATTTTGACTTTTTCTGTTTTAGGGTTTGTGCATAAAAAAATAAAAAAAGTTAAAAAAAATTGCAATAATAAAATATTAAAAAAATCCGCCCAAATGTCTTACCTTCTTCTTCTTCTCTCCCTTCTCTTTCTCTTATCTTTCTCGTATTATCTCCCTTCTCTTTCTTCCCTTTATTCTCCCTCTTTTTCCTCCATTCACTAGGCAAGAACCTGACACCGGAATATGGCCAGATCGAAAGCCTCTCTCCTCTTTCTCTTCCCGTCTTCATCTTCTTCATCTCTCTCATAAAAGGGCAAAAAAAGGGGATCTTTTGCAAAGCTGTCGCACTTCCCCACCCATTTTCCGGTAGCCCCGTCATCGAAAACTTTTCCCCTCCCCGCCAATCATCTTTTCGGTGTGCCCTCTCCAAAACCCCATTTTTCCCATCTTCGTTTGCTCAAATTTCACCGCCCATTGAATTCCTCAGGTTTTTGTTGTTTGTTGAATTGGGATTGATGGGTGTTTTTCATATGGGAAATTGATTGGTTGGAGATTAATTGGGAGTGTTGTTTTTTTTTTTTAAATTTATTTTTGGGGATTTCTGATCAATTTTGGCATTGATGATTGATTTTCCAAGTTTTGGCACACCACTTGTTTGAGGTTTTGTCCCAAACCTTCTGTGCCTTGCGTGTTTTGGTTCTTTTGAGTGTTTGAGAGTGGTTCGTTGGGATTTTTTGCATTGAATCTTTTGGTGATTTGAGTGAGGTTTTTTTGGGGCTTTGGTCATTTTTGTTGGTTGTTGTCCTATGGTTCTGGCGAGAGATGAAGAAGATGAAGACAAAATTTTAATTAAAATTAATTATAAAAATAAAATAATTAAAATTGAGAAGAAAGATTTTTATAAAATTAATGTTAAAGAGAGAAAATGAACAATGCAGAATGTTATATTTTTTTGTTGGATATAAAATTACCATATTATCTTTTTTAAATGAATTTTACTAACAGATTTGGATGGAAGGTAGGTAATTAACATTTTCAAACTTTTTGGGTACCACGTTGTCTTTATAGTAAACTATAGGTGGATGCATGACGTTTTTCAAAACTAATATAACTTCATATATTAAAAAAATAAGTATAATGATTACTAAAGAAACATAACGAAATAATTATATGTAAAAATTGATAAACCAATCACCCAAACCTAATTGCCAACCTTTAGATTCTCATGGTCAGAAAATTTTTCAACGTGTAATGATAACAATATAGACATCAAATAATTTTAAACTAAAAACAATATAGCATTTGGGCGGAATTTGACCGAGGAAGTGTTGGTGTAGCACTTCCTCGATTAAATCCTACTCAAATGATGCATCTCTTGCTAAAAATAATAATATACATAGATAGTGTTTAAAGAAGAGAATTTAGTTTCATATTTTAAATAAAATAAGTTAAAAGTCTCCTTTTAGTATTATTTTAAATTTAAATTTATTATCATATAGGAACATTTTAGGTAACTAAATCTATGTATGTATTAAAAGTTCAGAAATTTTACTTTTTCAATTTAGTCAAAAGTTCTAACAATTTGAAGAAAAAAATGGGTTTTTAACTCTAATTAGATTTAAGATTCAAGTGGAAAAATAAACATTTTTTTCTTGTGAAGACATTGAGGTGTCAAAATACAAAACAAGTAATAAATACTGGATTTGATACAAATATCTAAGACTAAAGTTATGCGGAGAGATTTTAATATGATAATGATATTTTTTTTTTTAAGAAATTTAGATATTCATTTCTAAATTAATTAATGTAAACATAACTTGGTGTTGTTACAATCTCCTGGGATATGTCCATATCATACATTGACTTATAGTTATATGACAAAACATTGTGTTGATAATTAAATTGGTGATTTCAATTCTTCATTCTCATAAAGGATTGATTAACCCTAAGCTATATATTTATCTTCGTCCTCAACCTCATACCTGAATGACCTTAAGGAATCCTTAAATAGAAATGCATATATGGACCTAGTGGTGAAAATCGAGCCGAGCGACTCGAACTTGGCTTAGCTTTGGCTTGAATTTGACTCGGCATTAGTCAAGTCGAGTTCGAGTTTGAGTAGCTCGAATAATCCCATGAGTAGAGTTCAATCACTGTATAAAAAGTTTAAAAAACTCGATTAAGTTCGATTAGCTCAACTGAAACTCGATTAAGTTCGAAAAGCTCAACTAAAATCTGATTAACCAAGCTTGAATTCGAACTAGAATTCAATTTTTAGATACCGAGTTTGAATTTGAACTCGATTCATTAGACTCGAACTTGAACTTGAATTCAATATTGCAACAACCGAGTCGAGTTTGAGTATCCAAATACTCGACTCAATTTCACCCCTATGTGGACTTGATCCATAGATAATGAAAAAAAAAAAATAGTTTTTGTTTTTTTATTTTATGGGTACAATTTTATTTACTATTGACTTCTAATAAATTTTATTTTCGTTCTTTCTTTTTGTTAGGTTGTGACAACTTAAAAAAAGAAAAGTGTGTACAATTTTAATAATCACTTATTTAATGCAATACAATGGTTGAAAAGAGAAAGTAAAACGTGTTTATTCAACACTAATTTATCATTGTTTCAACCATTGGATTATATTAAAATCTTACAAATTTTTTTTCACAATCTCGATTGGGTAGTTCGTAATTGGTTTCTAATGAATTTTTTTGTTTCCTGACGAACTGTCACATCGTAATTGTGAGAAGAATTTGTGTATTAGGTTGTGAATCAATCTTTATTAAATTAGAAATTCTAAAGTGTTTGATCTCAACTCTTCAAACCTATTAAAGGTGTGGTCTACTCTTGGATCATCATTATCGTATTTGTAATAGTCAACGATAAAGAAAATGAATAAATTACCACATTATATCCACCGTACAAAATCATTTCAACAATTGGAAAATGAAATAATGAATAAATAACAAACTTTTGAATAAATTACCACATTAGTTATTTACACTTAATTAAAAAAAAAAAAAAAAAAAAGGGCATTGATGTAGTTATCTGTGTAGCCTCTCTAATGCTCAAATCAGATTTCTGAACTAATAAATAAAAATATAAAGAGTATTTAAATGAAGATCCTCGCATTACTCAATTATCTGCTTAGGAGGTGGTTGAAATGGCAGACAACTTCCTTTTCCATCAGGTTGTCTACTTGAAGGGTGGTTACAAGTGAAGTAATCACCCAAGTCAGTTTCTGTCAGGTGTCTAGTCGAGTGTCAACTTCTAATTGAACGATTATTGGACATTAACCTTAAACATTGCCTCCTTGGCTTGTCATTTACACTTAGAATTTGACTTGTACTTGACCCTCAAATCTCGTTTTTGTACTTGGTCCAATTTTCTTATTTCTTGGATAAAGCTACCATTTACTTGTTTAAATCTCATGGATTCTTCATTTTCACACATTTTCTAAGTACATATACTTAGATTTTTGCTCCAATTATCCTCTTTCTTTCAAGCACAAAGTTGTATATTAATGAAAAAGTAATAAAAACTAATTATTTTCTCAACAATTAATTAACCAAAAAAAAAAAAAAAACAGCTCATAAAATTTGAAAATTGCGTGCACTCAATAAAACAGGTGATAAAAGTTATTTTGTCGGTGCAAATAATCTCATCAAGCAACTATTTTGTGAATCGGAGGCCTAAAAATGGGTCAGGTGGCCCAACAATTATAAATCTGAGGCCCAAATAAACAACCCAAAACCAAATCTTTCTACTACCGGCAGATAAGAGATTAATAGAGATCCAATTTCAATTTTGAATTCCTAAAACATTTTTTTTTTTTAAAGGTGTTTAATACAAAATTGCAAATGGAAATTAATCACCGGCATATTTGAGATAAGCTCTTCGAGAGGAACAAAATAAGTAATAATTTAAAGGTTTTAATCGAGTGTGGGGGCTAAAATTTTTGTTTTTTTAATAATTTTTTTATGTTTTCAAACAAATATGACAAACTTGTTTTCATCCTTTGTGTTTTCAAATACACTTTCAGACACATATGTTGAACACGTTTTCATTTTTCGTTTTCTCCGGATACTTTTAATATTAAAAAAAAAAAAAAAAAAAACCGGATACATAAAATTCATAAATAAAGTAATAAACATACTCTTTAAGCAAGTATTTTTGAATTGGAGGCCCTGCAATAATGGGTCTTTCGGCCCATTATAAATAGATCTTAGGCCCAAATAAAACCCAAAATCCAAGACCAAATTTTCCTACTACCGGCACCGGGAGATAGTAAGGAGATTAACAGAGATCCAATTTCAATTTTGAAATCACAGAGGCGCTCTCCCATCTCAAAACGTCGCGTCGCGGCGTCGGTTTATTCTTCTTTTAAGATCTCTTTTTATCTTCTTCGTTTTAACATTTTCAATATTCCCTCCAAATCTCATTTTCATTTCCCCAAAAAAGTGAAAGAATTTAGGGATTTCAATTTCTCAGGTGCTCTCGTCTCGTCAAGAGCCTCCACATCAATGTCCGCTTCAGGCGTCTCCATCACGGCCAACTCGGCGGCGGCTCGCCGGAGGCCGGTGATGGTCCACGAGAATAAATCAAGTAACATTGAATTGGTTCAAGCCGAACCCCAAGTCAATGGCGGAAACGATAGAGTTGCTGTGGCTGCGACCAGCAGAGATCTGAGCCTCCATTCGATTCGAGGCGAAGCGGTTGTGGAGAAAGATTTGATGCAAGTGAAGAAGAGCGCCATGGCTAATTCTACTGTGTCGCCTCGCCGGACGAGAAAGGCAGCGGCCAAGCAGGAGAAGCCACGGTGGTTGACGGTGGTTAGTATTTTTACTAAGAATTTTATGCTTTTATTGGTTTTGTTAGGGCTGGTTCAGTTGGTTAGGAAGTTAGCTTTGAAAGATGGGGATCCGACGCAATTAGGGTTTTCGGAATTCGAGAGACGAATTGGGGATGTTGAGGATTTTGTGAGGAGCACTACGAAATTGATGCAGGTTCAAATTGAGGTTGTTGATAGGAAGATTGAGAGTGAGATTGGAGGGTTGAGAACTGAAGTTAGTAAAAATATTGAGGATAAAGGTGTAATTTTGGGGCTTGAGTTGAAGAAATTGGAAGAGAAGAGCGAGGGGTTGGAGAGGACATTGAGTGAATTTAAAGCTGTTGATTGGTTCTCGAAAGAGGAGTTTAATAGGTTTGTTGAAGGGACGAGGAAGAGGAGTAGTGGTGAATTTAGTGAAAATGATGTTAGTTTGGATGATATAAGGGTTTATGCAAGGGAGATTGTGGAAAAGGAGATTGGTAAGCATGCAGCTGATGGCATTGGGAGGGTGGACTATGCATTGGCGTCTGGTGGGGCTAGTGTTGTTAAGCATTCTGAACCTTATTTGCTTGGGAAAGGGAATAATTGGTTTTCAGTGGGTGGTCGAAGTGGTGTTCATAGGGATGCTGATAAGATGTTGAAACCAAGTTTTGGGGAGCCGGGTCAGTGTTTCCCTTTGAGAGGGAGTAGTGGATTTGTTCAGATTAAGCTGAGGATGGCTATCATTCCTGAGGCTATCACATTGGAACATGTGGATAAGGTGAGTTTTTAATTTCAATATGTAGCTATCTGCATCGCAGAGTTATCAAGTTATTGGTTATATATCCATGTTCATGGTTTATGCATAGTTAGTTATCTGCTCTGATCATAATGTTTGTGACTCAGTTCCATAACGAAGTTTTACAGTACGCCCTATCTTAAAATATTGACAAGGTGCAAATAGGCTTGGTAGTTGACAGGTATATATTTGGAGTTTAGGTTTTTTTTTCAGTTAGACATAATCTGATTTTACAATATTTATCTGGGCCTATGGTCTATTGAGCATTTGAGGAATTTTTAGGCTATTAAAGATGAAACAAGAGCAATTACCTCAGTGTAGAAGACTCTTGAACTAATTTAGGGAGGTATAAAATGCATCTTATCACTTCGGAGAAGGTTATCTCTTGTTAAGACCTCAAAAAGAGTTTTAAATGTGCCATCATGGTTTGTATGTTTGAAGAATACAGTTACTGTCCAATTTTCTCATTCAAATGATATTAAGCCTAGTGTAGTCCAAAGAGAAGGGGGGGAGGGGGATGAGCCTTCTTTGGAGAAGGACTTGGAGTTCTGCTTGAGCTATAAAGTTCAACTAAAAGTTTTGGAATATGGTTTTAGTGATTTTGTTGTCATGCTATTGATTTTAAACTTTCTTCTCATTGTCTTCTCTCATTTCTGACTGACCTGGATTTGCTTACCTGCTAGCTAATTTGGTTTAGTTTATTGCACGTCTTATTGTTTGAGGCTGATGAAAGTTTGCTGACATGTCATTCATGAAATTTAATTCTTTAATTTGTGTCATATGAGTGCTTTGTTGGAGCAAGATCTTTGTATTAAGTAGTTGGTGAAAGGATGATACAAGACAACTTATTATCTTTGATTTTATGGGTTGTTTTGCAAAAGATAGGTGGAGGTTTGTTATAGTTTGAGTTGTTTGTGATTTATGACTAAGAAGAATGAGGACTTATTGTCTAAAGGGTTAACAAAATAATGATTGATGCGAAGGGATTGAAACCACACAAGAGAAGAATTATATCATGTGGGAGAGAACACACTAGGGAGCCATGCCAAGTGAATTTTCATTGTATCATTTTATATTGATTAGGTGGAGGAGGTGAAGAATATCTGGGCTAATTAATTATACTCTTGTTCGGCTATTTGCCTTAGGAAGTCTTTGAAAATATTTTTGTCTATTAAGTTTATGCTTAAATTTTTATTTTATGTGTATGAAATATGGCAACAACTTTTTTATATATGTAGATTAATGCAGTTAAGTTAATGTGTACGCAATTACCATTGTGTGGTTATTATTCACATTTTATGCATCTGGTTAATGTTCATAAAAAAAGTCCTTGGTGTAACTCATGATTGATTTTTAATTCTTCTATTTCTTAAAAAGATAAGAACAATTTTCTTTGAATTTATAATGTAGGATAGAGGTTTAGTTTAAGTTTTGTACACAGGTAGGTTGCATGTCTTTGTTAGTTAGGTCTTGTTCCCGCTTAACTCATAATATAATGTCACAGTCTTACTCTATTTTTTTTTATAGGAATAATCATGTCAATTATTAATAATGCCTAACAGCCATTTTGTTTCTTTTTAAAATTGACGACCTTGATTGATCTGTATTTATATGTTATATGAGACATATACCTAAAATTGTCTGGATGTTGCACCAAATTCAGTTATGTTTTCTTTAAAAAATGTGTTTTGTTGTGTATGCATCGTTCTCAGTTTGAATATTGTAAATTTTCAAAGTTAGAATTTTTTTTGAAGTAGGGTTTGTCTATCTAATGTGGATTGAAATTGTGTCAATGATGATAGATATGATTTGATTTTTCTAAGTGATTATATTAGATTTTCTAATTTCTACCTTAAGTGTATTACTATGGCAATTTTTAGAATCCTTCACAATTTCCATTCATTTGATAGTGCTTAGTTGAACTGAAACCTTGAGTAAGTAATTATCTTGTAAGTATTGAGAAATTTTGGTTAATATTTATGCATAACAAATAAAGTGTATTGTTGTAGTTCGAACTGAATTTTTTTTATGTAATGAACTTCTGCAACATTGTTGTTCTCTTAGTATTAGTTCACCTTGATGGCTGGTCCTAGAAATAAGCTCCATCCACACTGTTCCACAAGAAACATAAGTATCTCTGGTAGCAAACTGTCAAATACTCTCTCATTGAAAAATGCAAAGGATAACCCCCTATATTCAGGTGTCTTAATATAACAAGTTTCCTTGTTAAAGAGGATTAAACTGACTGCATTTTTTGGTTTATTCTCAAGTATACCTTTGGGGATACCGTTGTGTTATGAATGAGTTCCTGTAGGAAATTGATTCCAAGCTATGTGTAATACGTTGGCATCACCATGCGAGGAGTCAGAAGAAGATGAAGTAACATTGAATTGCTAAAATTAGAAATAAAGATAAAAGTATGTCTGATTCAAAATTTGAGAATTAGTCTTAATTACCCAGTGTAAAATTTGGATCCTTAATATACTGGAAAATTATTGATGCTACAAAGCCTTGAGATTAGCATAATTTCTAGATTCTTTCTGCCAGAAGCAGTCAGTATTTGCTGCTGCTAGTTGTTTTGTTCATTTTTAGTTAACATATTGACAAACAGTTTTTAGAGAATGGCATTCGTTTCGCAATAGTCTGAATCAGTTTCTTGTTCTTTTCTTCTTATTCTCAATTTTGATGTTGTTGCTGCTTAATATATTTAACATATATGTTGACAACATAGTTTTCTTTGGAAAGCAATTTAAATTTTTGTTTTCTCTTGGCGTGCCCGTATTTATGCTTCTCTCTTTGCCACGGATTGGTGTGAACTATTGTGTGTTCTCTGTTTTTGTTGTTCTGTTTCCTACTTTTTGATGTGTTGCACTTTTGCTAACAATTGATGTTACTGAATCTTTTGTCATTGTGATATGAACAGAGTGTTGCTTACGACAGATCAAGTGCTCCGAAGGATTGTCGTGCCTCTGGATGGCTACAGGGGCATGATAATGAGTTAGCAGTCAATGCTGAGAAGATGTTTCTTTTGACAGAGTTTACTTATGACCTTGACAAGAGCAATGCTCAGACCTTCACTGTATTGGACTCACCAGGCTCTGGCGTTGTTGACACTATTAGACTGGACATTACGTCGAACCATGGAAGCTCTTCTCATACTTGCATTTATCGCTTAAGGGTACATGGTCAAGAACCTGATTCTGTCTCCATGTTGCCTATGTAGTTTCATGAGTAAGTCTTCACCGTTTATGCCATCGCTCTTGTAATTGTCATCTCTACTCTTTTTTCATTTCTTTCTTTCTTTTTTGATTCTTTGCTTAGAACCTACTTCAAACTTTTTGCTTATTAGACGCAGAGTCTCTTGTGTTTAGATACTTCTACTTCCTGATGTTAGTATTGTCAAAAAAAAAAAAGTTTGTGTACCACGTATGAGTCTGAGTGAGTTGTAAAATTATGATTTCTGACTTCAAAAGACAAGTATATGGTTGACAATGAGACTGAGGCTCATCAATCTTTTAGAGCCAGTGGATTGACATCCATTTTATCGGAGCCTATGCTAATTCAACGGATATCAAGAATTGGTGTCTTGATAATCGGTAACGTTATTGGTTTAGTAATGTAGCAATGATTCGTGATGCATAAGTTGTTTCTGTTTGAGTTTTGGTGGGTGGCCATGATGAAGGAGCAATGGAAAAGTAGTGCTTGAAACATGGTGATAGATGCCAACTCAATGAAAGAGTATCTGCAAGTATTTTAATGGATTAGATTGTATTCTCTCATTTCTGACTGACCTGGATTTGCTTACCTGCTAGCTAATTTGGTTTAGTTTATTGCACGTCTTATTGTTTGAGGCTGATGAAAGTTTGCTGACATGTCATTCATGAAATTTAATTCTTTAATTTGTGTCATATGAGTGCTTTGTTGGAGCAAGATCTTTGTATTAAGTAGTTGGTGAAAGGATGATACAAGACAACTTATTATCTTTGATTTTATGGGTTGTTTTGCAAAAGATAGGTGGAGGTTTGTTATAGTTTGAGTTGTTTGTGATTTATGACTAAGAAGAATGAGGACTTATTGTCTAAAGGGTTAACAAAATAATGATTGATGCGAAGGGATTGAAACCACACAAGAGAAGAATTATATCATGTGGGAGAGAACACACTAGGGAGCCATGCCAAGTGAATTTTCATTGTATCATTTTATATTGATTAGGTGGAGGAGGTGAAGAATATCTGGGCTAATTAATTATACTCTTGTTCGGCTATTTGCCTTAGGAAGTCTTTGAAAATATTTTTGTCTATTAAGTTTATGCTTAAATTTTTATTTTATGTGTATGAAATATGGCAACAACTTTTTTATATATGTAGATTAATGCAGTTAAGTTAATGTGTACGCAATTACCATTGTGTGGTTATTATTCACATTTTATGCATCTGGTTAATGTTCATAAAAAAAGTCCTTGGTGTAACTCATGATTGATTTTTAATTCTTCTATTTCTTAAAAAGATAAGAACAATTTTCTTTGAATTTATAATGTAGGATAGAGGTTTAGTTTAAGTTTTGTACACAGGTAGGTTGCATGTCTTTGTTAGTTAGGTCTTGTTCCCGCTTAACTCATAATATAATGTCACAGTCTTACTCTATTTTTTTTTATAGGAATAATCATGTCAATTATTAATAATGCCTAACAGCCATTTTGTTTCTTTTTAAAATTGACGACCTTGATTGATCTGTATTTATATGTTATATGAGACATATACCTAAAATTGTCTGGATGTTGCACCAAATTCAGTTATGTTTTCTTTAAAAAATGTGTTTTGTTGTGTATGCATCGTTCTCAGTTTGAATATTGTAAATTTTCAAAGTTAGAATTTTTTTTGAAGTAGGGTTTGTCTATCTAATGTGGATTGAAATTGTGTCAATGATGATAGATATGATTTGATTTTTCTAAGTGATTATATTAGATTTTCTAATTTCTACCTTAAGTGTATTACTATGGCAATTTTTAGAATCCTTCACAATTTCCATTCATTTGATAGTGCTTAGTTGAACTGAAACCTTGAGTAAGTAATTATCTTGTAAGTATTGAGAAATTTTGGTTAATATTTATGCATAACAAATAAAGTGTATTGTTGTAGTTCGAACTGAATTTTTTTTATGTAATGAACTTCTGCAACATTGTTGTTCTCTTAGTATTAGTTCACCTTGATGGCTGGTCCTAGAAATAAGCTCCATCCACACTGTTCCACAAGAAACATAAGTATCTCTGGTAGCAAACTGTCAAATACTCTCTCATTGAAAAATGCAAAGGATAACCCCCTATATTCAGGTGTCTTAATATAACAAGTTTCCTTGTTAAAGAGGATTAAACTGACTGCATTTTTTGGTTTATTCTCAAGTATACCTTTGGGGATACCGTTGTGTTATGAATGAGTTCCTGTAGGAAATTGATTCCAAGCTATGTGTAATACGTTGGCATCACCATGCGAGGAGTCAGAAGAAGATGAAGTAACATTGAATTGCTAAAATTAGAAATAAAGATAAAAGTATGTCTGATTCAAAATTTGAGAATTAGTCTTAATTACCCAGTGTAAAATTTGGATCCTTAATATACTGGAAAATTATTGATGCTACAAAGCCTTGAGATTAGCATAATTTCTAGATTCTTTCTGCCAGAAGCAGTCAGTATTTGCTGCTGCTAGTTGTTTTGTTCATTTTTAGTTAACATATTGACAAACAGTTTTTAGAGAATGGCATTCGTTTCGCAATAGTCTGAATCAGTTTCTTGTTCTTTTCTTCTTATTGTCAATTTTGATGTTGTTGCTGCTTAATATATTTAACATATATGTTGACTACATAGTTTTCTTGGAAAGCAATTCAAATTTTTTTTTTCTCTTGGCGTGCCTGTATTTATGCTTCTCTCTTTGCCACGGATTGGTGTGAACTATTGTGTGTTCTCTGTTTTTGTTGTTCTGTTTCCTTCTTTTTGAGGTGTTGCACTTTTGCTAACAATTGATGTTACTGAATCTTTTGTCATTGTGATATGAACAGAGTGTTGCTTACGACAGATCAAGTGCTCCAAAGGATTGTCGTGTCTCTGGATGGCTACAAGGGCATGATAATGAGTTAGCAGTCAATGCTGAGAAGATGTTTCTTTTGACAGAGTTTACTTATGACCTTGACAAGAGCAATGCTCAGACCTTCACTGTATTGGACTCACCAGGCTCTGGCGTTGTTGACACCATTAGACTGGACATTATGTCGAACCATGGAAGCTCTTCTCATACTTGCATTTATCGCTTAAGGGTACATGGTCAAGAACCTGATTCTGTCTCCATGTTGCCTATGTAGTTTCATGAGTAAGTCTTCACCGTTTATGCCATCGCTCTTGTAATTGTCATCTCTACTCTTTTTTCATTTCTTTCTTTCTTTTTTGATTCTTTGCTTAGAACCTACTTCAAACTTTTTGCTTATTAGACGCAGAGTCTCTTGTGTTTAGATACTTCTACTTCCTGATGTTAGTATTGTCAAAAAAAAAAAAGTTTGTGTACCACGTATGAGTCTGAGTGAGTTGTAAAATTATGATTTCTGACTTCAAAAGACAAGTATATGGTTGACAATGAGACTGAGGCTCATCAATCTTTTAGAGCCAGTGGATTGACATCCATTTTATCGGAGCCTATGCTAATTCAACGGTTATCAAGAATCGGTGACTTGATAATCGGTAACGTTATTGGTTTAGTAATGTAGCAATGATTCGTGATGCATAAGTTGTTTCTGTTTGAGTTTTGGTGGGTGGCCATGATGAAGGAGAAATGGAAAAGTAGTGCTTGAAACATGGTGATAGATGCCAACTCAATGAAAGAGTATCTGCAAGTATTTTAATGGATTAGATTGTAATATAATACTTTTTTTTTTTTTTTTAAATTTTGTATTGGCAGAAGAATAACTCTTTATTCGAAGTGAACTATGTGTATTGTCAAAAAGGCCATTTTTTTTTTTCATCTTTTCATTATTACTGGAATCTTACCTCTGCAGGTTCAAATTCATAACTTGACTATACTGTTGCATGGTAAATACTAACATTACCATAAACGTGACATTACATATTTACATTTTATACTATAATTACAACGTTTCACATATTTTAACTCCTTTGATCGGCCCCTCAACTGAGTCGGATGCCTGTTAACTAGACAATTACCATATGACACGATAACCATTATAAATATAATAACGAATCTGAAACCCCCATGACTATAATAGAATAGAAGATCCACCAGAGTTTTAATATTTGAATAATTGCATAAACACAACACTTTCAAATAAAATAAGTGGTCAAAATTAAGCACATGAAACCCAAGATTGATTGTTGGGAACAAATGTGGAATATAGCAATAAAAATATGGGGGCCTGCACCAGCTTAAATTGTATAAAAAAAAAAAGTGATGAAAATGAAGAGGCTGAGTCTTTGAAATACACAAAAAAAACTCATTGAGAAGTGGGGTTTTGTCACAAAAAGGGTTATTCCCAAACATTCTGTCTCTCAGTCATCCACTATTCATGGGATTTCCCACTTTTCAACAAGCCATGGACCATCCAACATTTGGTCTATTCTTAATCTTAATCTCAAGGAATAAGGCCCCATCACATATTGTTTTCAATTATCTCAAATAAAATCCTCTTCTCTTTGTAATTTTGTTATGATTATGGGGATTTGCTGTCTAATTCATAGACAAACATATTACTACCTTTGGATTATACTCGATTGTTCAATTATTTAATTCTCATCTCTTTGATTGTTATTCGCAACCAGTCCGAATAATATTGTTTCAAGCAAAGTAGGTGAAGAAGAGATGGTTTTAAAAATCTAATTATGGCAAGTGTTAGGAAGGGAATGGCCAAAGCATTCCTGATTACCAGGAGTGTTTAAGTCTCTTTCAAAGTTTTTGAGTTTGACTACCAATCCAATGAGTTTGGGGCTATTCAATTCATGTCATCAAGTCTTTTATCATAATGGAAATTGATGTAATATACCCCCCTCATCTTTTCATTGCAACTAAAAGTTCTTGTAGGACTATAATTCATGTTTAGCATTAATTCAATCAACACTTTTATATATACCCACCATTCTCGTTGAAAGTATTATTATATATACAAAATTTATTTCGATGGTATCGTCAATCTTAATTTAGATATAAAATTTAGGAAATTTAAGTTTTTTTTGGAAAATGGAAATAAATTGGAGACAAGAGGAAAAGGGTGAAGTTACAAGTGCCACAAGTTGGGAAACCACATAAAGGAGAAGTACTAGTTTCTATGATTTGGTTTGCAGTTTGCAGGCCGCACACACGTGGGGGTCCACTTTCTCACTATTCTTTTTTCTATTTTTTAAAATATGAAACATTTCCTAAAAACATAAAAAACTCGTATAAACTCCTTTCCCCATACAATTTCATATTCTTTTACCAAGAAAGCATATGTTTTGAAAGGACATTTTAGATTCGATCCCCACTTTTGACTGCTTCCGTTTCCTTTTCTCTCTCTTTTTTTTAAAGTTCTAAATTCTATCTTTTTTTTCTTTTTTTTTTTTCTCCATTTTCCATAAAGAAAACGAAAAGCCCCCAAAATTATATTCTATTGGCATCATTAAATAGTAAAAAAAAAAAAAAACCAGTTGCCTCTTTTGTTCACTGTATTTATATACCCATCAAAAATACATTTTTATTTTATATTTTTTTTCTTTTTCTGCTTGTTTGGTCCTATTACAGTGGATGAATTTGGATTTTTTTCTTGATTTTTAATCAACCCAATTTGTAAATTTTAATATAGAATAGGATTTATAAATTAATTTCCAATAATACACAGGACAGAGACAGGTTTTGGTAACTCCAATAGCATTGCATTTGATTTCTTGGAAACTGAGTTTTAATTGAGACCACACCAGTTCTAGAATATCAAATATTCTTTCATTGTTAAGGTTTCTTTCTTTCTTTTGATATATATATATTTTTTCTTTTGTTGTGGTTCTTCTTGTTGTTTCTGTTAATTTGTTTGGTTTTGTTTAATCATAATAAAAATTTATAAAGAAATCATTGGTTTTGGTTCAAAAGTTGACTTTTTTAGAACAAAACCCATATGGGTTGTCAATTCTCTTTCATGCTTTGCCACCCTATTTATGCTTCAGATCTTCTCCTCATATTCTCTGCTTTTAATTTTTATTCTTCTTTTGGTATATCTTCATCTCATTATTTATCTCTTTTATTGCCATTCATTTGTTCCTCCTTATCTATTGATTGGTTTGTTCGTTTCTAATGTTATTGATTAATGTTATCTTGTTTCTGTAAAGGGAAGATTGATGATATTACTCTGATCTCACCAAACATGACTTTAAAGAATCAAGAAACCAAGAAGAAGGTAATCAATTTCATTACTTTCTTGTTTTATATGTATTTTCTTTAAGTTAATAGTTTTGGTTATGTGTATTGTATAGCATTTTGATTCTCATTTTTTAATGTTTTTCCCCTTATGGTTTCAGTCAATCTTCCAAAAAATATTCTTGACTAAAGACAGGAATGGTCCAAATGAAAAGAAAATGGATAAAGAGACATTTAATATCCCTGGTGAGTCATGTTTAGATGCTGTGTTGTATAAGATTGTTGGCCAGTAACTTTATGTTAAGATGCAGTATAAGGGAATGTGCTGTGTTGCGTCTTTATAATGTTTAAAGTAGATTCACATGTGCATGTATACATTAATTGCTTTTCTTTTTGTTCTGAAGATGAAGATATTGTATTGCTTACTGAATCATGGAACAATTTTGTCTCCTCTTTTTTACTTTTTTTTTTATTATTTTTTTTTTGGGGTAAATGAAATTCAAAGGTAATAAGTTGATAAGGCTTGATTAGGGATAAAAGAAGCGAAAGGTAATGACAAGAAATAGGGGTTTCAGCATAATTGCAATTTGATGTAAATCTGAGAATATATTCGGAGTTTAATCTTTTATCTAGTGTTAAGGAAGGAAGCAAGAATGGTATAACTTTATCTTTGTTTCTATCTATCTAACCCAATTTCATTGTTATTCTTCTTTAATCTTCTCTTCGTCCTTGCTTATAAATTCTTGTTATCAGTGGAAACTAAATGGTCTAATTAAGAAACATCAGATGTTTCACTAGCATGAGCAGTGATCTCCATATAAAGTATCTGCCATAAATTTGAGACTTTTTTTTCACTACTTGTAGTTTTATTTGCTTTTGATTTCTTTTCCTTGTTTTTGATTATAACCATTTTTATTTTTTTGCTTGTTTATACTTGCAGAAGCACCTTCTGATTCAGCACTTGAGTCTTTGTTCTTCAGCAGCGTACAAATGCCAAGTCACAGTGTCCAGTCCTTCCGGTACTGATAATTTTTTTTTTTTTTTTTTCCCATCAGAAAGGGGCGTTCAATGATTGTTAACAGAATAGTTCTTTTAGGTAAGTTTAGATTTTGAACTTCTGTTTTTCTTTGTTTAAGGGTTTTTGTCGCAACATGGAATGTTGGAGGGAAACCTCCTCACAGCGGCCTCAATCTGGACGATTTTCTTCAGGTTAACAATCAGTCAGATATATATGTTTTAGGGTACTTTCTTTCTCCTTTCTTTTTCATTTTTTCGTATTAATTCAAATTGACTTCTTGTCATGTTTTCCCTCAAATCCTGATGATTTCTTCCGCACTCTGACAAAATTCTATTAGAATACTAAACAAGTAATTCAGATGCTTCCTACTGTTAGTTTCCCGTATTTGCATTTTTATCTCAACATTGGAAGGAATATTTAGCAGATGAGGTGCCTAATATAGTCAATTTATGGCACCTGCAATATAGGTTCCGGTCCCAACCATGATGCTAACATGGCTTTCGCTACATATGTTGGTTAAATACTACAAAACTATGAAAAAGAGTTTAAATGCATAAGATAATCAAAAGTTGGACAGATTCGTATTTTCTCTTTTTATTTGGTTATGTCTGAGATGCATAAAAGTTTGTTACTTATTTTAACTGTTGTTTCAATTTGTCAGTTTTCAGGAAATTGTCCCATTAAATGCTGGTAATGTGCTAGTTATAGAAGATAATGAACCAGCTGCAAAATGGCTGACTTTAATTAATCAGTCGCTGAACAAGTCGCATAGTCTGTCTTCTAGAGGATTGAAATCTACCCCTTCTTTCAGCAGCTCACTGTTCTTCCCGAAACCTTCTCTTAAAAAGGTCAGTAAGACTTTCAGGACAGAGAGTAAAAGGAGGCTTAAGACTTGCAACTGCATGCCTGAGCTGGAAAAGAAGAACAGTAAGGAATTCTGTTTTAGATGCCAACAATCAAATATTAGTGAAGATGACAATTCGTCAGAAGAGGACGACGACGTGCCTAGTAACTTTGAACTGGCCGAAATTTCCATCCGTACCAGTCAAATGAAATATAGCCTTGTAGCAAGCAAACAAATGGTGGGAATATTTGTCACTGTTTGGATGAGAAAGGAACTTGTGCCTTATGTAGGTCACTTGAGGATCTCCTGCATTAGTCGTGGAATCATGGGCTGCCTTGGAAACAAGGTAGCTTTAAAATTTCTTGGGCATAATATAATCTTTTAGTGCTTCTATTCCCCAGAAACTTAACAACCTATGCAAGCATGGTTTATACGTCTTATGTAGATGATAAAATCATGTTTGAAACTGAAACAAGAAAATAACATATTACTTAACATGTCAACTGAGGCAGTATGTTGTTTGTTTTTGTGGTTGCAGGGGTGTATTTCTGTCAGCATGTCTTTTTATCAGACAAATTTTTGTTTCATATGCAGTCATTTAGCATCTGGAGAGAAAGAGGGTGATGAGCTCAGGAGAAATTTAGATGTCATAGAGATACTTAGAAACACGCAATTCCCAAAGATTTGCAGAACACCCAGCAGTAGGGTGCCTGAGAAAATTCTGGACCATGAGTGAGCATCTCTTAATTTATCTGACAAGTAATTGAAAAGTATCTTTAAAATTCCTTTTTCAACAAATTTCTTTATCCGTTTCACTGAACATTTTCTTTACTTGTTAATGGACCTAGTCGGGTTATATGGTTCGGGGATTTGAACTACCGGATAGCATTGAGTTACTCTGACACTCGAAAGCTTCTGGAGCAGAACAACTGGGATACGCTATTAGACAAAGATCAGGTAGTTTCTTTTTTCTTGGGTGGTTTGCTCCCATGTGGAAATGTGTTCATTCATTTAATCTCCAGTAGCATTTGAAATAGTAGTAGCTTTTTCATCTAGCATAGAAACCATCATAGAAATTGATATCAGACGTTATTGATTCCGAAGCAGCATCTTTTGTAATATAGTCAGGATTTAGCTTTTTTGCCATATACTCATTAAGAGCTTTCTGCTTCTTGTTCGATAGCTCAAGATTGAAAAGGATGCTGGGCGAGTATTCAAAGGATGGAAAGAAGGAAAAATCTACTTTGCTCCTACATACAAATACTCTTATAATTCAGACATGTATGCCGGAGAGACTATTAAAACCAAAAACAAAAGGAGAACCCCAGCTTGGTATGTTTAAATTAAACCTGTATCTACATGTCTCAACTACACTGGCTACAATTTATTTTTAACAGTTAAGAATTACAGGTGTGATAGAATACTCTGGCATGGAAATGGAATTCGGCAGCTTTCTTACATACGAGGGGAGTCTCGTTTTTCTGACCACCGGCCTGTATGTGGGACATTTTTGGTGGATGTTGAGGTGGCCGAGGGAGGGTTAAGAAAGAAATTATCTGGCAGTAACATGAAAGTTGGAGTTGAAGAGCTTTTACCTTCTACCAGAAAATGATTGCAGTAATAACATGTGAGTTGGATCCTGTTGCTTTTAACGGAGTCTAGTTTTTGAGATTTAAATTTGTTGTCTGATTCTTTCTGCATATCATCAGGTACTAATATCCAAGCATAACCATTACGAGATTGAACAAACACCAAATTTTGCTAATTCATACTTTCCAGTTGGATGAAATTCTCTTGGAAGTGTCGGTTGAGCATTCTGTAAAGGCCATTCTGCAACTGTATAAGGTGTAAGAAAAAGCATCGTAAGTTTGGAAACATGCTGTGCTACTATAGTCAAGGCACATGAACATCGATTAATCATGGATGATGAAGACAACAAAATTTATCGAAGTATAGTTGACTAGTTTTACAATGACTTACTGACTGGCGCATACAGTTTGTGCATAAGGGGTTGGTAGATAGTGAAGAAAAATGTTTCCAAACTTGTGTAGAGAAAAGAACATATTTTTGAATGCTAGTTCTGGAAGATAAAATCAATTGAATGTAGAAGAACATTTATGTGCATTGGCATAGATGAGATGAAGAAAATCAAATTTGTTGCAGAAATTATAAAATGCAGGCTTAAGTGAATTTCTATCAAATTTATTATAAACAATTTTAATTTTGGATTCTCAGTAAACATGCATACCCTTAATGATACATGCTTATTTTTGTGTTTTCCATTACTTTTAACATTTTCAAAGCTATTATATATGTGTGTGGAAGTGCTTTTACATTGTCAAAAACCAGTGTGTGTTTGGATTGGGACAGCTTTTACATTATAAAAACAGACTAGCTTTTGACATTGTCAAAAACACTCTGAAATTAATAGAAAAGTGCTTTTATTTCATCATGTGGCAGTTAACTGAAATAGAAGATAATCACTTTTTGAAGTTAAAAAAAAAGAAAGGGTTTTTTAACCCCTTGAGGTTTAATAAAATAACATAAATGTGACCCATTTTTGTACCGTTAAAATTTATAATATGATGAGTTAATAAATATTTACCTATTTTTCCCTTTCTTGTTAATTTTAACACCAAAAACTTATAAATAGAGGAATTTCAATTATTACTATAATTATAGGGAAATTTTTGTAATTTAATTATACATAAGAGATTATGTTGAAACCCCAAAGAAAATTGACTTCTCTTCCGCTTAGAGTTATAAATTGGTTCTCTAAGGTTAGAAAGCTTTAATAACTCAAATTTTTTATTTAAATTGCTGGGATATTGATTATTGACCATAATTCTAAAACAATTTAATAAACAAAGAATTACCTTTTGTACTACCTTAACAATATCTTGATCATTGAATTACAATTGAAATATTATTAATTAGTATAAAAAAAATTAAGTTGATATGTAGACTTAAGTTTTAAATGAGTTTGAACCCAAATTAAAGTGTAAAACTTTTATTCAAATATCATAAGACCCCTGACAACTTATTAAAGTGTAAAACTATTATTCAAATATCATAAGACCCCTGGAAACTTATAGGGCCTGTTGTTACACTTTTTTAAAAATGTTATTTTGAAAAGTGTTTTGAGTTGAATTAAATCGAATTGGATTTGAATCTAAAAATGTGTTTAGTAAAATATCTAAAAATTATATCAGAGTTAGATACAATGTGAATAGTTGTTTGGTACATTTTTTTAAAACAAGTTTTTAAGACAGAATAGTGGTTGGGTACATTTTCTAAAAAATATTTATATTATTTTTTAATCCCTTACATTTGTTAATTTACTAAACACTCTGACAATAAAAGTTTAAAAATTAATTAAAACACCCTAGCCACCCAAGAAGATAGTTGGCCGTTAGCCACCATCGTCGACCGACAGTTGGCAATCGCTGAAATGACGCATAACCGATTGGATCTTGCTGGTCATGCATCAATATGACTGTTTACCAAGGATTTAAGCGCAACTTCCAAGGTGAGTAATCAATATTTGTCTTGAGTGATTAGCATATATGAGACTAATATCATGTCATGTGTATATATGTACTTCATGTTCACCTCTTTTCGTGCTACCAAATCTCGCACAAAGTTGCATTTGATATCTATGTGTTTTGTTTTACTATGATATTTGGGATCCTTAGTATATGCTATTGGTACTTGACTGTCACAGGTTCAATAGTAATATCAATTATTCTAAAATGATTCATTAACCGTCTCAACCAAACGGCTTCTTGCACTACAATTGAAAATGCTACAAACTCAGCCTCCATTGTAGATAAGGCTATACATGATTGTTTCTTACTACTTCAAGATATAGCTCTGCCATTTGGTAAGAAAATAAATCCAGAGGTATATTTTCTTTCATCTAAATCCCCTCCCCAATCAGCATTGGTGTAGCATCTCAAATGTAAATCATTTCCTTGATAACACAATGAGTAATCAGTTGTTTTTTTTTAAATATCTTAAGATTCTCTTCATTGTTTTCTAATGTGTTTGTCTTAGGTCGGACTGATATCTGCTTACCAACCCAACAGCATAATAGATGTCAGACCTTGTGCACATTATGGTGTATGTAAGACTTCCAACAACACTTGTATAAAGAATATTTTTCATTTGTTGATTCTCTTGTGGAGTCTTAAAACGCAATCTATGGCTCAAAGTCTCACCTTTGGAGATAGGGTTGTCTATGGGTTTGCAATCTTGCATATGAAATTATTCAAGAATTTTCTTAATGTATGGCTCTTGCGAAAGAGACTTATTTCTTTGGGCGATTTCTTGAAATCTTGACTCCAAGGATATATCCAGTTTCACCCATATCTTTCATCTTAAAATAAGATGACAACCAACCTTTGATTTCATTCACAACCCTTGTCATTTTTAGCTATAAATATATTATCGACATATAATGATAATATAACAAATTTGACATTGGATCTCTCTGTATAAACACAGTGATCTTCATCAATCATTTTGAAATCATATGACATTATCGCATTATGAAATTGAATTTACCATTGTCTTGAAGATTGCTTTAGGCCATAAATTGACTTCAAAAGTTTGCACACTTTATGTTCTTGACCTTCCTAATAAAACCTATTGGTTATTCTATATAAATCCCTTCTTTTAATTCTCTATTAAGAAAAACAGTCTTTTTACATCCATTTGATGCAATTCAGGATCCATGTTTGCAACTATAGTTAGAATAACTTAGATTGAGGTAAACCTCACAACAGGTGAGAAAGTTTTTTCATAATTTATTCATTCTTCTTGTGTATACCTTTTTGCGACTAAGTAAGCTTTGAATATTTCAATATTGTCAGGATTTTTAGTGAGCGGGTTCAAAACATCTAAGTTGATAAATTTACAATAAAATATATACTGAAGTAATAAGGATAAAAAAATGTACTTTTAAAAGTTATACATACCAAATTATTAATTCTATAATTGTCCTTGACGATTTTTCATATTCTGAAAACGTTGTATAATTACTTCATTGACAATTCCATTAAATATCTCCCTCTCAATATGAGTAATAAGACAATCATTTAATAATTAATTTCCTATTCGATTTTGTAGTCGATTTTTCACAATCTTCATTGTAAAAAACGCTCTTTCAACACTTTCCAATTACAACTTAATTTATCAAAATTCAACTCATAACTTAGGTTTTTCCAACAATTTATACTAACCCAATAAAATTCAACTCATAAACCCATGAAAACTCATCAAATCCAACTTTAAATATCAAACGATTGACCAATATATCAAAATTAAACAAAATCCCCAAATCTCTACAACTTAGGTTTCATCAATTCTTTAAACCATTCAAAATTAACTGAATAACTAACCAAAATTTATTAAATCCAACTTAAAATAACAACTAATTAACTCATACCTCAATATAAATAAGATTAAATCAAAGCCTACATCAAAATCAAAACCTAGAAATTTAATTTTCTAATTTCAAACCTATTTATTAAACTCAACAAAAATGCATAACTCATGATTTTTTATCAATTAAGAAAGCTAAAAAAAAAAAAAAAAGCATCATCTTACCTTGTAATCCAAAGGAGTAGCCTTTCTTGAATATCCAACCAAAAGAACAAGATAATATGAGAGAAAATGAGGGGAAATGAAGAAGAGAGAAAATTTAAAAAAAATGTTAATTAATAATTTATTTTTGTGGGGTCAATATGAATTTAAATGAGGTTAAAATTGTAAATTTTATAAAACATAAAGACTTTTTTTTTTAATTTTTTTTTTTTAAAGTTGAGTGGGTTTAATTGAACCCACATGTGTTTGTATGTGGCTACATGCCTAAATACTGCCATCAGCTTTACGCTTGATTTTGAGAATCCATTTGTTCCCAATGACTTTACATCCTTTTGATAAATCAATCTATTCCCATACTTGGTTTGATTTCATAGACTCCATTTATTCTTCCATTGCTTTCATCCATTTTTTCTTTGAAAGGCATTTGAGAGCCTTATTTATATTCTTCGGCTCTTCTTCATCTTGCGGGGTAATTAGAAAAACTCCCCCCTTAATCTCAAATTGACGACATTGAACACTTTTCTTGTTTGTTCAGCATATTTGAGATTCTTCTAAGTTACTCCCACTTGGACCAACCATTATAGTTGGATCTATTATGGGTACCAATTGAGTATTTGAAACAGATTCATCAACTCTCATGTCACTTCAACTCAAATGTACTATATCTAATTGATTTTCAATAGTGAAATTGATGTGGTCTTGAGTTTCATATAAAGATAAGTCTTGACCTATCTCGCCCTCCTTTGGAAAATCATTTTCCAAAAATGTGACATCTCGTGATTCAAATTTAGCTTTGTTACCATTATTTTGTTCCCCTATAAACGCGTATCCTTTTTATTGCTCTGAGTATCTAATGAAGATATATTTCTTTCCTCTTGGACCTAATTTTTCATATTTATGAGAAGACTCATGAACATAGACAGCACATCCCCATGGCTTTAGAAAATTCAAATCGGGTTTTGGATTTGTCCATAACTCATATGGTGTAGTGGTAACTGATTTAGAGGATACTTTGTTGAGTATATATGTAGCAGTTAATAAGGTATCACCCCAAAAAATGATGGGTAAATTTGCCTGTGCCATCATTGATCTCACCATTTCAAGCAAGGTTTTGTTTCTTCTTTCTACAACAACATTCTGTTACCGAGTTCTTGGAATAGTAATTGGTGTTTTATTCCCATCTCATCACATAAATTTATGAACCGATTAGATAGATACTCACAACCTCGATCGGTTCTTAGAACTTTTATTTTCTTATCTAATTGATTCTCAACTAAATTTTTATATTCTTTTTAAGCAATTTAAAGCTTCATATTTATGAGAAATAAAAAAAAAATCGAATAATGTGTAATCATCTATAAATATGATAAAATAAACAAACACATTCTTTGCCCTCGCATTCATTGGATCACAAATGTCAGAATGAATCGATTACAATGGAGCTTCGGCTCTTATTGCTTTTCCAAATGGTTTTCGTGCTATTTTTCCAACTAGGCAATTCTCACAAGTAGACAATTCTACTCTTTTTAAGTTTCCAAACAAGCCTTCTCTTGCTAGGATATTCATTCCTTGTTGACCAATATGTCCAAGCCTAGCATGTCATATGT